GTTTCAATGCATTTTGCATTTCAAGTCAGCAATCACATGCTCCATTGAAAATAAACATTATGCAATTAGCCGATGTTAAGGTAAGAAAATTTCAGGCCGGTCTCTCAGTTAGTGTCAAACCTCGAATGGAATGTAGTACATATAACAGAATTAAACACTAAATTAAGTTTATTATGATAGGCATTCAGAATTCCTTCAAATTCTGTCAGCCTTCATGCAGCTCGTTGCTTGTATTTTGCAAAGGTGCATTCCCGCCTGAGATATGACATAATACGAGTATTCTTGGAAAGTTCATCATGTAGTACCCTGACCTTTAGATTGTAAAAGAAACTTATTCAATAAAATAAAAAATGCGATCCGCGTGGATCCTGTAAACCTCTCTTCATTGAGTTTGGAATCTTACTATTGCCTCGTCTATTTATTTACAAATCTGTAATATTTGTCAAAACTGACTTACTTAACGGTGGGAACATATTTTCATGCAATACTGATATTTATAATTACAACACATGTAGAAATCACGTTCATCGAGTGTCAGTATCAACAGCTCACTATCATAAATCCACATACAATACATGTAGGTTTTTTTTAAAACGCATTGCCGGATGAAATTAAACAATTAAAGTTGGTTCACAGATTTAAGTTAAAGGGGGATTTATTAATAAAATATTCTTCTGCATAACTGTTTCTTTACAATTAGAGACTACACTGATCATCAAACAGAAAAATAATATTTATTTTAAGAAAATAATGATATATGATGAATTAGTTTACATTTGTATTGTATTGTAACGTTTTCCCGTGAATTAAAACACACACAGGTAATATTTAGCAAATATTTTTTTTAAACAATGATACACTAAAATACTTGATTTATTTACAGATAGGTTACACAGTCCTTGTGTTCTTCACTTGATATTTTCCTTGCACACGACTCTGTTCTCTTGATTATTTATTTACACTATTCACTATCGCACAGTCCGATGCACTGTCCACGGTCCACTGCGCTGACCACAATTCACTGCGCACACCACGGCGCAGATCAGGATCCACTGCACTGCTCTTCACCGCGATACACACTTCACAGCTCAGCTTCCACTGCAGACTTCAAACTGCTGACTGCTGTTACCCTAGTTCACCACTGTTTACCGCAATGCAGACTTTACAGCACAGCTTCCACTTCAGACTTGAGAGAGCTGCAGACTGCTGTTCACCAACTGTACCAACTAACTGACTGCTTATTCAGCCTGCTACTCGCGGCTGCTTACTGCCTGACTACATACACTGACTGACTCGCGGCTGCTTACTTCCAACTCATTCGCAGCTGCCGGCAGCGGCGAATTTATACCTGGCCGGCGCCCGCCTCGACACATCCGGCACTTGCTCCACAATTCTACGCGACTCGCGAATAGCCCGGAACCGTCCAGTTCGGGGAGCGCCGGCAGATGACGCAATCCGCGCAGCGAATTCCAGCAGGTGATGCAATATTCGTTACAGTACATTAAAAAAGACATAATATGCTTCTAACAATTAATTTTTTCAGCTTCTGATTCAATGATCCTCTCATCTCGATCAGGTTTTTGTTCAGTTTCCCTGATCCATTGAGCAAATGTTGAAATGGACCCTTGTTTTGCTTCTGTAACTTCACTATGCGCATGTTTTGCTTGTAGTGGTAGGAGTAGAGGCACAAAATTGGCTTTTCTAAAATGTTATACCTAACAATTACAGAACCATGAGATAATATGTTATACCTAACAATTACAGAACACATGATATTAAAATATTCTATGTCTGATATAAACATTTTGCTTTATATTTTTTTGAATTATAAAATTTATTGCTTATATTTTTGTTGAATTTCCACATATAATACCGGAATTACCACACATAATTTGGAAATTGTACATAAATTCCCGACGCGCGGAACGAGGAGAATTTTATCTGAGAATTTCCAAAGCACGAGTGGTGTTTAATCGGACTATTCCAGGGATGAAATTATGTCCATCAGAGTTCCCAAATGCGCCAAATATTGGATACAATTCAAAGCTATTGTAATGGGACGGTGACGTTTGGACGTATGTTTTAAATTTTATTTCGAATAACATTGCAGTGCCTGAAAGTGAAGAGCCAGAAGTGGCAATTTTTCCCTACCTGCGCACATTGTGTGAGTCTCCGGGCGCGGCCTGGGGCACGCCATGCGTCAGCGGGGAAATTACGAATGCTTCGCCGACAAGCGTCGCGACTCAACCACCAAGATTTCGGAGTTTTTCCGTGTTGCCGAAATTTCATCCGAAATCCGCGACGCTAACCGTCACCGATGACACCGCAATTCAACAGCGCACAACGAATGATTCGAGATTGCCAATCGACGAAAACCGAGCGGGGGAGAGCCACGTGATCTCACGAACCAAGGGCGGCCACTGCGGCCCTACGCTCGTTCATTCGGATAGAGAAGACGAACGAGTAAGGTTGATTTTCATTCAGATCTACGCGGCGGATGAGTAAGGTTGATTTTCATTCGGATGGAGGAGACGGCCGAGAAGAGTTGGCGCATTGCCGCACGCCACTTAATTCCACGCCGCTGCCTACTCGCCCGACTGCCATCGCCGCCACATCGCCTGTACAGGGCAGGGGCCGCACGCCGGAAATCGCCGTGAGGTGTGAACTCGGCAGCCAGTGACTGCCAGAGCGCCAGAACTCGGGCCAAGGCCTATGGCAGGCAGAGGCGCGTCCACCGCCGTCTTGTGCCGGGGTGCTGACGCCTGGGGGAGCCGTCGCTAGCCCCCTTCAGGGGGCGAGGGAGGCCGCACTGCCGCCGCCATGGGACCCTGCCACGCTGCTGCCTACAGTAAAGGGCGCCGCATGTGCCACTGCAGGTCAAGAACGCCGGAACTGACGCCGCACCCGCCTGAGGGCCCGAACGCCCGGACGCTGACTCGAGAAGGCATGGTCAATAAGCTAAGTTAGGTTACGTTAGAATAAGAAAATTAATACTGTAACTGGAGGCCTCACCTCAACTACGAAATGGTAATTAAAATCCATTTGTGAAACTTACGACGAGTTTCAATGCATTAGTGCATGGAAGAGCCGATCACGCATGCGTCCTACCAGACTGAGCAACCTGGGCAACGCTGCTGAAGGGAAATCAGAACAGGTAAGTCGGATAACTCTGGGAATCCCCCCTTCTTGGAGAATTGGCGCAGTACCAGTTGCGGTCAGAACGACC